CCCCCCCCAAATAGTTTAATCTTGAGATTTGAGGGCGCTAATTCTTTTCATTTTCTCCATGCTTCTGAAGGTCTATGCATGCCATGATACAATTCTGGTATTCTGCCTATGCAGGGACTTGGGTACTGAAGATCACTCAAAATTAGAATATATCTTTTAGTCCGACCCACCTTAGGGAGACATAAATAAATTGAAACACATGCCCTGCCTTAGATCAGCTAAATCAATATGACTCCATGATGGTCTCTTAACAGTGCATGGGTTTCTGGCTTTTGCATTCAGCGGTCTATTTATTCACTGAGTTGTCAATGTTGAGATTTGGATGATATTTCTGAAAGGAAAATGAACAATATTGGGGAACAGCATTTTAAATTTTACACTTCTAGAAAATTTAATGACTTGGTCATTCTATTAATTTAAATTATATTATTGCTGATGCATTTATATTTACTCTAGATTTTCATTAGAAACATACCCCTTCACCACGTATGAAACAATTTCAGCAACACTTTGAATAATTGCAAAGCTTCCCGGTGACTAGTTTAAACAAAACCTTTGCATCTAGATCTAGAATATGTTTACGCTTAGATTTAGACAGATTCAGTGCAAGCTGTGTGGACGGTATTCTGAGCCGACTTGATAGAACTGTTCAATTAAGGCAAAAGCATTTACATGGTGTAATTTACCTAAATTGCCAGTGGGCCTCTTACATACTAGCAGTGTTAGAATTGATTTAAGCAATTGATTTTAGCTGAAACTGATAAATTTCTGCTTGTTAGTTACAGTAATTTTGTGGAAGACTTTGTAAAGCAGTATTGAGTGTGCATTTAGCTGATGTTTAAAAGAAATGTTATTTACAGTGGGTTTTTACTGTTTGTTTAGATGTTTGGGCAGTTTGCCAGCCTATTGAAGCCTAACATTTTTCTTCTTTAAATATTTATACAACAAATTATCCAATTTTCCCACTTGCACTCAAAACAAACTCCCTGTGTAAATAAATAGACAGATAAATTAATTCTTCTGATTAAGGGAAGTAGCTTCCGGGCTCAGCATTAAGGTAATGTAAAGTGTGATGTTCAAAATATATATATTTTCAAGTTTACACTATCACTTCTTAGTATGTATTATTATGTTGCAGTCTGTGATATCTAGAATGATGCTTTAGTGCAGCATTGAAAGGCTGCTACATTGTTAGAGGTGCCATCTCTCAGACAAGATTTTAAACTGGCATGGACTAGATGTTCTGAATGTGTTCTGTGCGATAATGACTCTGTCCTGGCCAGCATTACTCCCTCGATTAACAACTTCCAAAACAGGTTAATTGCTCATTTATCTTGGTGTTTATCATGGGACCTTGCTGTGCATAAAAGGGCTGCAGTGCATGTTTAATAGGTTTTACGAGCATTTATATTAGGAGCAGAAGTAGGCCACTTGACCCTTCAAACCTACTCCATCATTCAATAAGATGATGGCTGATCTGTTTAGGTTTCAAATTCCAAATATCCATTGATCCCTAATAACTTTTGATTCCCCTTCCCAACAAAAATCTCTCTACCTCTACCTTAAAAATACTAATTTTCCCCACCTCGTCCACCTTCTTAAGCACTGAGTTCCAAAGACTCTCAACTCTCTGAGAGGATAAGATACTCCTCATCTCTGTCCTAAAAGGGGGTGACCCTTAATTTTAAAAGTTCCCTCTAGTTCTGGACCTATCCACAAGAGGAGGTATCTTTTCCATGACCACCTTGCCAAGACCTTCCAGGATCTTGTCTGTACACTTAATCAAATCATTCCTTTCTGTTCTGAACTCGTGAAAACAAGCCTAGTCTGTCAAATCTTTCCTCATAAGACAACTCACTCTCTTTCCAGATGTCAATCTCGTAAACCTTCTATGTTCCACCTCCAGTACTTTCACATCATTCCTAAATAAGGAGGCTAAAACTGCACACCGTATTTGAGATATGGTCTCAACAGTGCCCTGTATAACTGAGTCATAACATCATTACTTTTATGTTCAATTCCACTCATAGTGAAGGAAAACATTCCATTAACCTACTTAATCATTTGCTGTACCTGCATGTTTAACTTTGTGATTTATGCACTGGAATACCTAGATCCCTCTGCACCTCAAAATTCTGCAGTTGTTCTTGTTTAAATAATATTTTGCTTTTTTTTATTCTTTTGCCTAAGTGAACTTCATATTATAATCCATTTGCCAGATTTTTGTCTACTCAATTAAATTATGTTTCAAATTTCTTCACAACATACTTTGCTATCCTGGTGTCATCTGCAAAGATAGTCACCATACCTTCAATCCTCTCATAAATAGATACATCTGCAACATGTAGATTGGAGGAGAGGTAGTCAAATATATTTTTTCATCTCGATTCCCTCACTGCCACTGGCAGATCCAATCTAGCAGCTGTGTCCTTCAGTGCTACCGAGCCACTTTTGGCGAAGGGCATTGAAATTCAGAGTATGTTTTGTGCGAACCTCAAATGATCCTGTGCTACCTCAAAGTAGTATTCAAAGCAAAGGAGTGGAGAGGTAATGC